ACTCTTTCCTCTTGCCTTTTATTTCTCTAATTGAATTGTATTGTGCTGGAGTAATGTATCTGCATAACCACACACACACAGAAAAAGGTTACTTAAGGGCTGCCCCTTTTCACTCAGACAAAACCTGCCCACTGGAAGAGGATACTGAGCACTGAACATAGAACTGAGCTTTTACTAGCACAGATTTTTATGAAGCAAACTGTATATCTTGCATTTTCAAGATCTGATTTCTTGGCATTCCTCAAAACTGAGCGATACTGAAACAGTATGGGTGGTCTCAAGATACGACATTTATTAGTAATTTCAAATTGCAAAATTAATGTTTTTCCCCTCTTGCACCCTTCTTTTTTAACATTGCCAGTTTTCAGACAATAAGCAAATTAAAAGAAGCAATGAAATGGATGCCACATAACTGTGTGAGCTTCCGTGACCCTGCTACAGTTAAGAGTGAGAGGGTGAAAGTCCATGATGTCATATTGCTTAAGCACTGATAAGTGGTCCCATTGAGGATACTGCTGGTGGTAGACACTTGCTGCCACATTTGACCACAGTCCCCATCTTCAACAACAGTTACATGGCAAGGCTCTCAATCCATCATGTGAGTTTCCAGTGGCAGAATGCAGCAAAAGACACTAAGGATCATGGTCTGAATAGGAATATCACAAAGGAATAATCGGAGTGGTTTTCTGTGACTACACATGAGCTAACCCCACTGGGGGAAAGGGAAGAATAAATATAAATGGCAGATCATTGGGAAACTGTGTCAAAGATATTGAAGCATAACTGAGATGTGAGGCTGTGGGGTTCCTCTCCTTGGATAATTTGCCTTTACATCTATCAAGTTTTTGGATTTTAATTTAAAAAAAAAAAAAGAAAGAAAGAAAGAAAAAAAAATACAAATCTTAAATGTAATCTTTTCCAGTAAGATGAAACTCATCTTAATTGTGTATGGAATAAGGATGGAGTTGTGTTTGCATTGTAGTCCCCAAAAAAGAAATGTTCACCTCTGCTTTCACTGTAAGTTGAATGTCAACATTTATCACTGTAAAGCAAATTGTGATCAATCTACAGAGAGAGAGAAGGGAGTTATCAAATATATTTTGTATATATGCACATACCCATACCCATACACATGCTCACCAATTGTTATTTTTAAATGAGCAATACAGATGGTGTACCAGAGGAAAACCTATTTTATTAAAGGAAAGAAACATGTATTAATTAGGTATTTCTTGAATGGCCTTATAATGAAATAAAAACATAAATAACCCACCAATCATTATTTTATTTTAATGTTTAACATAAGTCTGAGGTCTGATGCTAATCTTTCTCTGATTTGAAATGTGGTTGTTACTGTGTTTTGTAATTCTTTGCAGAGCTGATGTACACAGTTGAGCTTGCTGGTGGGCTTGGTGCTATTCTGCTGCTGCTTGTTTGTTTAGTGACTATCTACAAGTGTTACAAGATAGAGATTATGCTCTTCTACAGGAACCATTTTGGAGCTGAAGAACTAGATGGAGGTAAGGCATCTTCTTACTACATTTCCTGCTTTCTAAGCATGTCTGTCTTTTATTTCTCTCTACTAAGGCCAAAATTTCATTTCAGTTCAAGATGTGTTAACAAATGCGATTTTTATTTCTCACTGCATTAGGCACCGACTTGAATATGCGTTCCTCATACAGCACATTAGCAGCAGTGATTGTAGTACATGCTGCTCTCTGGAGCTCCAGAAGACACACGCCTTTTAGATTTTTATTCCTGGCAGTGAATTTAGAATACTAACATTGATGCATTAAAGACTTTCACTTTCTGCCAGTTCTGAAAGCCAGCTTCACTTCTCCATAAGCTAGGGAGTGTCTTCCTAATTGTATTCACCAAATAGGTAGAGGTTGAACTGATCACAATTTACTGCTTGTTTAAGCTGATCTATTTCAATAAACTGTACTGAGTGTTTGGGAAAGTACCCAACAGGTTTATTTTTTTGAGTCCATTTCCTTAATCACTGAGAGAGTGGCAAAAGGTTGTTAAAGCTGGTCTGTAATTCAAGGACACCCAACCTAAATAAAAGTAATCTGCAATGTATGAGCCAGCTTGTGTCAAACATATACATGCATTTTCTTCTCTTTTGAAACACTGAAGAAAAAATGCCTTCCTTGCCTCTAGCTCTACTGATCAAAACTGCTGTTGAACAGCAAATGGGGTTGAGCTGCAGGCTCTGATTAATTAGGTTTGGTTTCTTGGGTCAGAGTTCCTGATGTTTTGTGCCATCACTACATCCTTGGTGATAGGACTTTTACTGAAACACTAATAAAAGCTATTTTACAGTACAAGGTAATAGCCCGTGGGCAGAAGCCACTGTAACATATTAAAATTAATATGTACTGATAAACAAACACTGACCAAATCTGTCAGCAATAAGGGAGAAGAGCGGCAGCAGAATTAGAAGTCCTTATGTAAGAGAAAGAATTCCATAAAAAGATCACTAGGGAATGACCCACTTCTAAAATCTAAAAATGCACAAGGATTCAAAATAGAAAATGCTCAGAACAACAAGCCCAAGAACATTAGAACGTTTTCTATCCTTCTATGTAACAGCTCAGTGGGGAGAAAAAAGTCAGGTTATTCTACTTACTTTACAAAAGGAAACTGAGGCCCACAGGGACTGTGACCCATTGATGATTTTGGGAGACACTTTTTTTTCAGGACATGCAGTCCTCTCTTATTCACAAAGCAGCTCCCAGCTTAAGTAGCTATGGAACTGAGTTTAATAATAGTCATTTTATATATTAGTTTAATTAATATTTGAATACATGCAGTTTAATATTTTCTCTCTCACTATCAGTTCTTACTTTTACAGCTGTCATTTATTGCTATCTCAAATAATTCAAATTTATTTTCAAACTTACACATCTCTCTGTCCTCCAATCCCAAACACTGGTCACCTGGGAGCAAAAATACTTTAATCACACATTTTAAATAGCAAAAAAGGAGGAAAATAATTTCCATTCTGTTTATTCTTCTGAGCAAAGCTCATTGTTAAAGAAGACAAAGCATGGATTCTGCTGAGATGATCAATGCAAGCACTGATAGCATCCACGTTTAACTGCATCAATGTAAGAAGAAAAAGATACTGCTTGCAGATTCCTAATGGAAACCTGTAGCTTCTACTGTGTTCAATACACTAGCAATATAGGTAAATCTCATAATGCCAATTAAATTACTGCAGCTGGACTTTCTACTCTGTGTCTTCCACTTACACTCTTGCAAAAGCAAGAGGACAGAGAAAAAATGCCCCATAGAAGATGAAGCTATGGTTTGTGTTGAAGTAAGTTGTAGACATACGTTCCATTTTCTTTGGATTAGCTTGTTACTGACAGACACACAATGCTGAACTCTTTTTTTTTTTTTTTTTTTTTTCTAACCACATCTCCTGCAGTGTAGCAGGCACAGCGCCCACGTGCTATTCATAATTTACACCATGTTCTGGCATACTCTGGGACAGCATGAAGATAAGCAAACATCAAAATATCACAGGCGTTTTTTGTGTGCACTATATTGTACCCAGAGAGGATTTGAAACATTTTAAAAGTGAGGTACAATTAAAATTTTCCGTTGAAAATCTCTTTTAAAATGCAACACTTCATTTCTTCTCTGATCAGAGAACAAACCCTTCAGGATGTCAAATCTCATTACAATTCCACTTTCCTTTCTAAGCCTCAGACACATGAGTTTTTCTCAGGCTAACATACCAGTTTCTGTGGGAGGCATGGGTAAATTGTGAGAAATATTCAAAAACAAGTATTTAACCCTTATAGTTAATGAAACTTAATTTATTACTTCTGTCGTGGTTTTGGGCCCAACACAACAACAAAGGAACAGCCCCGTGGCCGCTCACTCAACTCAACACACACACACTCTGGGATGAGGAGGACAAAAAAGCTCACGGGTTGAGACAAAGGACAAGGAGGGATCTTCACCGATTAAGGTCCCAGGCAAAACAGACTCACTTTGGGGAAAAAAATAATAATTTAATTTCACACTAATCACACACACACAGGACACAGACACACACAGAGAGCAGAGGTTGCAGATGTTACCCCACCTCTCCCTTCTTCCCAGGCCCAAATCACTTTATTCCCGGTTTCTCTCCCTCCTTCCCCCCAGCAGCACAGGGGGACAGGGGATGGGGTTTAGAGTCACTTCACAGGCTGGTGGCTCCTGCTGCTCCTTCCTCCTCAGCAAGTAGGATTCCTTACAGTCCTGCCCTGCTTCCCTATGGGGTCCCTCCCATTGGAGAGAGTCCTCCACGACCCTCTCCTTCCTGAGTCCTTCCCACGAGGTCCGGAGCTGCTCCAGCCTGGGCTTCCCGCAGAGTCACGGGGGCTTCGGGAACAGCCACCTCCCCTGGCCCGGGGGCTTCAAAAGCTGCACAATCAGAATCCACTGGCAGCAAATCCACTGGCCAGAAAATCCAAGTCCAGTGGCCAAGTTCACCCCTCCTGGCACCTTCAAGGGATGTTCCTCCATGTTCCTCCACGAGTGCAGGGGCACAGCTGCCATCTCACCATGGGTTGCAGGGAAACTTCTGCTTCAGCATCTTCTTCCCCTTCTTCCGCACCAACCACCAGCACAGCTCCCCTTTCCCCAGCACAGCTCTTCTCCCCCAAGTGCTTCTCTGCTTAGGTGTTATAGCTGTTCTTTCGTATGTTAATCACTGAGGCACATCTATTGTCCCCCTAATGGCTCCTTAGATGGGTTTGGAGCAGGGGGAGCTTCTTGCTGGAGCCACTCCTGGGGCCCTTCCTCTGCTACCAAAAATCCACCAAACCAAACCAGAACAACTTTCTGTAGGGTTACTGCAGATTAAACAAGTTATGACAGCTGCTGATTCCTCCGTTCTCTAACTTGCAGCTTTGAATTTCCCATCTTCTCTTTCATCCTGGGACCTAGACTCGCTAGTATTTTTCTCTTTTCTGCAAACACTAAGTCAGTCTTGCCCTTATGGTCTCCTGGGAATGGACATTGAAACCCCTTTTTTGTTTGTTTTCAAGGTTAATTCCCTGCCTTTCCTACTAAATCTGCTCTTTGCCTACATACAATCTGACTTCAGGCCACCTAAAATCTGTGGAAATTTTTCCAGGTAAAATTTGTCCCAGGTAAAATCCTGGAAAAACCTTCTCCCTTGTGAGACTGCTCCCGCCAATCAAATTGGCCACAGATCAGTCCCCAGGCATGACAGCCACACCAGACACAGGAAGGATGGAGAGGGGCATCACACCACTTCTCTAAACAGCAACATTTTTGATACTGCCTTAAAGTGGCCAGAAGGCTCAAAGTCACCAAAACAGCTATTTGCAGCTTCTTGCAGTTTCAAGACCTGGGGGTTTTCGGTGGATGCTCCATTGTCCGTACAGCAGCTTTAAGGTGTACTAAGGATAAAACCAGTAGTCTATGGATTACAGGCTGAAAACTATTGGACATGGCTAGATAGACAAATTACTCAAAATCATGAAGTTATTCTTGTGTTTATATTCCAGATCCCAGCTTCAGAGAAAAGAGCATGTGGTACAGTTGGCAGTAGAAACAGTCTGCAGGCATCAGCTTCTACCATTACCTGGGTACATTAGTAACCATTTAAATGAATGGAAGTTTTTTTGTGTAGGAATTCATAAGCAAAGGGTTAACACTATCATAAAAAAGAATAAATTTTACATGGAAAGGCTGGCATTAAAATTGATAAGAATAAAAATTTAGCAATTAAAGAGAAAGTCTGAATAAATCTCTTTTCTCACAGCTGGGCTGATAAGACTTAGTCAAGCCTTTAGGCTCAAGAACAGAAAGAACAAACAAACAAACAAACAAAAAAACTGTAGGCAGCTGGTAACTAGAAAGTGAGAGCTTTGCTTAGCAGCTGATACAATGACCCTTGGTGCCTTTAGGTCCCATCAGAAGTTTCTAATATTTTGGACAGGAGCTCTCAGTGGTATCCTGCTCTCATTCTCATGTTTGCTTGTGAAGGAAACCTTGGTGAATTGAGGTAAAACACAGCCTCTGTGCAGCTGAGATGCGGGCAGTGAAGGGAGCCAATGCTGGCTAGTTTCTGTGGGTTTCACTTTCAGATCTGCAAGCTGCTGCTTCAGTCCTCCCCACTGATCCCTCACTTCCACCTCACCCACCTCCCCCCCACTTCCTCCACTGCTGAAATAAAACAAAGTGCTCCTAATGTGATTAAAATGTGTCACTGCTGAGCTCTCTAAATTCAGGAAATCTTGTTTGGATTGGGTACATGACATCTACAGTAGCTGTTTCTTGGCTGCTCTTGTTGCTCTTTCTTAAGAGATGAATTTGTACTGCATGCTGAGGGGAAGCAAATCAATGCTCAAATTAAGGAGATTGACAAAACAGTTTCTACTTTGAAGTTTTTGTTGCACCTGGAGTTTTTAGTTAATAATAATTTTGTCTTTACTCTTTATTTACCTGCAAAACACTAGCAGGGTTCAGACCTATGGGATTGCCCAGA